CAATTCGTCGAAGGATAAACAGAAGAGAAAGAAAGGGAAGTTTTTTCTTTCTTTCAATCCAAATAAGAGAACAAAGAAACCACTCAAAAATGAAAGTTAGATAAAATCAAGAAGTTTCAGTAAGAACTAGCACTAGACTTCTTCCCCCCTTTCGACTTTTAATCTCTCCTTTAGTTTGTGCTTCCACCCGGGCTTTTCCTTCTGTTTTATAGAGACGGAAATTCTTCTAATAATTCATGTAGAAAGGTGAGGCATTTTCCCCGGCATACGGAAAAAAAATGAAAGGATGACGCAAAAGACGAGTAAGGGACGGGGAGGGGGAGGCTCTTGAAACCAAACGAGACTAGAAGGAACATGGGAATTAGCACCATTCATATGAGTGCTTTTGTCTCGAAGAGCCAACAAAGGGGCAGCCCTCTATCTCTATCTCGGTCTCCGTTTAGCATCATATATCGATCTGGAGAACATTTTGATTGGTTGTAGTGCAGATTAAGGAGCTGCTCCTCCATACTGTGGCTATGGAGGTGGAACTGAGAACATTCGAGATTATGCAGGATTATACACGAAAGAACCTTTTTTGGCTCTCTCTTTAGCCCTATGTCTCTTATCCCTAGGAGGTCTTCCTCCACTAGCAGGTTTTTTCGGAAAACTCTTGACAATTTCAAACAGATTTTTCAAATACTTAAATATTATTTACTAGATGAAAATGGTCAAATTTATAATCCCTATTCATGCAGTAACATCATTTTGAATCCATTCCGTTTGAATTGGTATTTTCTCCATTACAATTATTGTGAAGAGACATCTCCAATCGTTAGTCTTGGGCAGTTTCTTTGTGAAAATGTATGTATAGCAAAAAAAGGACCGCATTTAAAATCGGGTCAAGTTCTAATTGTTCAAGTTGACTCTGTGGTAATACATTCAGCTAAGCCTTATTTCTCTACTCCAGGAGCAACTGTTCATGGACATTATGGGGAAATCCTTTACGAAGGCGATACATTAGTTACATTTATATATGAAAAATCAAGATCTGGTGATATAACGCAAGGTCTTCCAAAAGTGGAACAGGTGTTAGAAGTGCGTTCGATTGATTCAATATCGATGAATCTCGAAAAGAGGATTGAGGGTTGGAACAAATCTATAACAAGAATTCTTGGAATTCCTTGGGCATTCTTGATTGGTGCTGAACTAACTATAGTGCAAAGTAGTATCTCTTTGGTTAATAAGGTCCAAAAGGTTTATCTTTGAAAGGGGATTCATCACTGGCTAGGGCTTTCGAATCAAAGCATGGGCATCTGCAACTAAGAGGGAGCAGTAGATCGCCGATGGAAGAGCCATGTCAGTAAACTTCTATTGGGACTTCTATGGATTATGGATTCGACTAGATGGACTCCTAGCAGCAAACTAGTATAAAGGGGCCCCAGACGCAGGAGCCACCAGCCGGATCGACCAACAAATGATAGGCCAGAGGGATGGGCTCATTCGACTAATCAGTGATCCATGGGCCTACCTAACACAGATGTCCCTGAAATGAAATAGGGGATTGGTTGATCGGAAAGATCGGGCAGGAGTAGGACATTCCATACAATTCCGCTTCGCTAGCCTCTCAAATCCCATTTTTGAATCGAGGTGAATTCTAAGGTTCCTTATTCCGGTTGTAAAGCGGAAGAAGAGGGAGAAGGGGCACAGCCCCACCAGTAGCCCACGTTTCCGACCCGAAAGGAATTGCAAATGAAAGAAGAATCTGTGTGCACTATCCATGGAGTGGAGTGACTCTTCTGAATCTCCTCTTCTCTATCTCCCCCTTTTTCCAGAATGTATCCTAATTTTTGGCCTAATTCTTCTTCTGATGATCGATTCAACCTCTGATCAAAAAGATATACCTTGGTTATATTTCATCTCTTTAACAAGTTTAGTAATAAGCATAACGTCCCTATTGTTCCGATGGAGAGAGGAACCTATGATTAGCTTTTCGGGAAATTTCCAAACGAACAATTTCAATGAAATTTTTCAATTTCTTATTTTACTATGTTCAACTCTATGTATTCCTCTATCCGTAGAGTACATTGAATGTACAGAAATGGCTATAAAAGAGTTTCTCTTATTCGTATTAACAGCTACTATAGGAGGAATGTTTTTATGTGGTGCTAACGATTTAATAACTATCTTTGTAGCTACATAATGTTTCAGTTTATGCTCCTACCTATTATCTGGATATACCAAGAATGATGTACGGTCTAACGAGGCTACTAAAAACCCAGCCTTTGATGTGCTTGCCTAGCCTCTTCCACTAGAAAGAGCTTCTTCTCTTAAGGCTTCTTGCCAGTAGTGAGAAAAACCTTGCTTATCTATCTTTAGAAAGAGGATAGAGACAAAGATAACTAGATCAATGTCTTCCGTCTTCGTCTGCTAGAACCTTCAAGGAAGATGCAAAAGGCAGTACAAATGATAAGAGCATCTTTGCGTCTTCTCGTCTGGATCTATATAGGGGATCGAATGCATTTGAACTCCTTCTATCTAGCGCTCTCAAGCTGAGGTAACTCGTAGCTTTGAATGGCTCCTGCCTAGCTTCTTTCCAGTGATTAGAGTCTTCTGTTTGCTGTTTTTCATCTTGCTATGAGTGCCTTTACCCTTCTCTAAGAAGCCATAGGACTGTGCTATGAGGTTGGAGTGATAGACCTTGTTTTCCCGCTTTAACTAGGAATAAAGAGGCATGACATCTATTGAACCTGGAGACTGAACTAGGTATGATTAACTTTCCCCTACTGCGACTACAGCTACAACGACATTTTTTATCGGATAAACTGCGGCTACTGCCGAAGAAACTTTCGTACCTTATTGTGAGAGTTCCGATGATTTGGCTGAGGTGAGCTAACGAATTCCTAGTTGAAACTTCACTTGACACAGTCTTCGTTCACATAGTAGAAGAGGTAGAGGGATTGCTTCTTGACTGAAAGTCTTATATCCGAACATTTATAGCTTACCCTTAAACTAGAGTGCAGCAGAGTTTATCTTGTCATTTTTTGAGACTCACTCTTGTCATTTTTATTAGCTATAAATGCTTAAAAGTCTTATGTCGCAAGGACTGATTCGGTCAAAAGTTTTGTAAAATACGATTTTTTTGATCTAAATCAAGCAGGTTTTACATAAAGAAGATTTGGCTCAGCGTGTTCTATTCGATACGGGTAGGAGAAGAACCCGACCCGATATTATTAAAAAAATAGAGGAAGCAGAATCAAGTCAAGATGATACAGATCAACCCCTTTTTTTGTGCCAAAGATCTTACCATTTCCGAAGGAACTGGAGTTCCATCTCTTTTCCATTTCCATTCAAGAGTTATTATGTGTTTCCACGCTCCTTTGAGATCCCGAAAAATGTACAAATTCCTTTTCTTAGGAACACATACAGGATTCGTCACTACAAAAAGGATATTGGTAACCCCACCATTCACTACTTCATTTATGAAATTCATAGTAATAGAGATCCATGTCCTACCGAGACAGAGTTTGTAACTTGCTATCCTCTTACCTAACAGGCAAAGATTTGCCTCCGTGGAAAGGATGATTCATTCGGATCGACATGAGAGTCCAACTACATTGCATTGCCAGAATCCATGTTGTATATTTGAAAGAGGTTGACCTCCTTGCTTCTCTCATAGTACAATCCTCTTCTCGGGGAGCCCCCTTTCTCCTCTGTCCACAGAGACAAAATGCAGGACTGGCGCCAACAATTCATCACGGAAGAAAGGACTCACTAAGCCGGGATCACTAACTAAGACTAATCTAATATGAATTAAATAGAAAAGACTAATATAATATATAATAGAAAAGAACTGTCTTTTCTGTATACTTTCCCCGGTTCCACTGCTACCGCGGGCTTTACGCAATCGATCGTATTATATAAATGTCCCTTCAAAACAACATAGGTCATCGAAAGGATCTCGGAGACCCACCAAAGCACGAAAGCCAGGATCTTTCATAAAATGGATTCCTATTCGAAGAGTGCATAACCGCATGGATAAGCTCACACTAACCCGTCAATTTAGGATCCAATTCGAGATTTTCCTTGAGAGGTATCGGGAAGGAATTGGAATGGAATAATATCGATTCAGACAGAAGAAAAGGTTCTCGATTGATTCAAACACTGTACCTATGGGATAGAGGAAGAGGAAAAAACTGAATATTTCACATAGTGCTTTTAATCAATCTGATTTATTTCGCACCCTTCGCTCAATGAGAAAATGAGTCCAATTCTAAAGGATCAAACCTATGGGACTTAAGGAATAATATAAAAAAAGAGAGGCAAAAATATTGATATTAAATAAAAATCAATAAAATAAGTAAATAAAAATGAAAATAGAATTGGTTTCGAAAGCATTCCGTCACTTTTTGGCGACTTTCACATTCAACCCGATTCACCGCCTACGTGCCCTTTATGCCCAGTCATTCCGAAGAGCACTTGCCCTCCCCGCCCCCCCCCCCCCCCCCCCCCCCCCTTACCGCGGCTGCTGGCACAGAGTTAGCCGGGGCTTCTTCCTCGAGTCTTGTCATGATCGCGCACTCGACGAAAGAGCTTTACAAGCGGCATGGACAAAATAGTTGGTTATGCCAATCAATTTTGAAGTTTCTTGATCTAATCAACTATGTCTTCTAGTCTGTTTGGAAGGAGAACTCATTTTCATTTCATCTTGTGACTCATTCTCTTCGATCTTCTCTTTGATTGCTTTTGAAAACGTCTTTTTAACTGAACTACAATGGTCTGATTCTTTTGAAGAAGATATGTAGGCAATTCGGCGTATACCCGGATGCGACCCCATCCACTCCCTCCATCCATGGATAAGGATAAAACAACATCTTTCACTGTTTCGTTGGAAAAACCAACGCTCATATTGACTTTTCTTTCGCCCTACTCTAAGGGTACTTTAAAGATTTTGTTAGAGCCAGTAACTTCGTACTTTAAATTGGAGAAAAAAGAGTTCCAGAGGCATCTTCCATTCATCTCTATTTTGGTTTTTCTGCACCATATTTTGATCTCCCTTTTCTTCGATCCGGAATTCCCAACAAATCCTTGACTCCTCGAATACAATGGGATTTCACACCTGGCGAATCTTTCACTATACCTCCTCTTATTAAGACTATAGAATGTTCCTGCGAATTATGACCTTCCCCCGGAATGTGAGCAAATATATCATGTCGATTGCTCAACCGTACTTTGGCTATCTTACGTGGAGCTGAATTCGGTTTTTTCGGTGTTCTCGTTGGTACACGCGGGCGTACTCCTTGCTTCTGGGGACATTGATCCGAAGCTCGAGTACGGTCCGTGAGCCATTTTTCTTCTCTACCATGACGAATCAATTGATTTAATGTAGGCATCGGTCGCTCTTTCTTTCTTTTGTCCTTCGCCCCGATTTTTCCCCTGTAATGTAACTAGTGTTTACTCCCGATCTGAAGCACCCCTTTTCCATTCATAGAGAGATCCAATCGTCAAAATCAATAAAAAGGCCATCATGGACCAAGATCCAAAGGGATCAATCTTGTTGGGAGGTACTGCCCAAGGAAAGGAAAATGTGACTTCCGGATCAGGGATAATAAATAAAATAGAAACAAGATAAAATCGTATATCAAAACGACTTCTGGCATCACCGAAAGGATCGAAACCACATTCGTAGGCCGAAAATTTTTCTGGGTAGGTCAAACTATTGGAAGCAAATGGAAAAGGAACACCAAGTGGGATCAAAGAAACTAGCAGACTGATCACTAAATAGATAAAAATAGGTGCAAATTCTGACATCACCACAGCCCACTTTGTTTTCTCGCTCCTTGCTCGCGGAGCGGCATACCGAAAAAAAGATAGGATTTGAATCAAAGACTTAAGCCCTTGCGCTATTCCCCCCTGATCGCATCGTAGATAGCAGTCAGAGTCAGTACGCTTTCTATTCTCTTTATATTATATATGAAAGACCAGACAATTGTTCTAGCAAGGATGGGCTAGTTGCCTACTCTCGCCTAACCCGCCCCTTTGACTGATGATCAATATGACAAAAGTAATCTATCTTGATCCTTATATGACGCAATTCATAGATTTGGGCAAGTCAGAGTGAAATCAAAGTCAAGTTATTGGCGATCATACCTACTCAATGAGAATGCTCTCAAGTCCAGTCAATGTCTTTTTGATGATACGATTCTCAGGTGCGAACTCAAATAAGGAGGGGGCCCCACCAGTCATAGTGTTCACTCTTCCCCATAAGAATAAGAACAAAATTCCTGGGATTTTTTTATTCCTTAGTAGCTTTGACAACATTCGTCTCTGTGTGAGCCCTCATCTCATGCTCCTACTACCTCTTAACTTCAAGTGGGAGTGATGGACGAGTGAATATCGCCAACTCTTTCTTCCCCGTGAATTGACTTCAACTGAAATCGGGCGGACCGGCTTCTCCCTTTGAGCATAGCATGCTTTTGGGGAGTAAGTCACTTAATATAGTATATTATGTGAGAATCGATTCTTACATCACATCAAAATAGCATGTCTATATACTTATCTACAGGCGGTTCCTCTTTTTTACCTTCCATTCATTTTGAAAGAGAAGGTTTCCTCTCACCTAAAGAATGGGAAGCTATTCCATCTGTAGTATCGCTGGAGGAAAGCTAATAAGTACAGCTGCAGTCCGCTTTAAGCGGTTGGTTAGCTATTATACAATTTGAAAAAACTTATTAAAGAAGTAACCTTAATAGTTTTACTATACAGGGAGCTGAGACTTTTAGATGGTGCATAAGCACTAGGGAATGCTTAATGGCATTCAAACTTGCAGGAAAAACACCAGCTCTTATCAATATTCCTTCCTAGGGAAACAACCCAAGAGCATACTTTTAAACTGGCTTGTTATAACCTGCTTTCCTAAGAGGTACTTCGCTAGCTCGATTTCAAATTGGTAAGATCATATTATAAACTATTAAAGGCAAAGACTCCAAGGAAATAGATCCTCATTCATGGGCTAGCATTTCTTTACAGTGGGGAACACTATCTATGGATAGAGCTTAGTTAATTAGAGAATTCAAAAGTAGCTCGCCTTTAGTCAGCTAGTACAAGAAAGTGGAGACTCAATGAACTGCATAAAAGTCTTGATATCTCGTTGTAATCCCAAGCATGCAATCCCTAAACTCCATGAGTTGCCCACTTCTCAGAAGAACGGATGATCGTACTACTCATTCATGTTGGCAGTCACTCTCATGGATTTCTCATAGAAGATCCTTATTCTTGATAGCACTGGTAAGGGACGATTCTCAGTGCCAACCTATCCCCAATCACACTGAATGCTTACTTACCAATCCTTTCTCAGAGAATTCCTCGTGCATCAAAAAACTTCTAGTAAAGTGAAGGAGACCCACTTCACATGGAGAAGTTCAAAGCTTCCATGAGTAGTCGGATGGACATGCTTGCCAATCTTGAGTTGTCATCGGGTAGGGCATGATTACAGCGAGTGTTCGCATGACTTGGGACAAACCTCTAGAGTCTTCTCCTCCTTGCCGCTGTTGGTTAGGGGCAATCGACCGATCCACATTTGTTGATACGTATATGGTTAGATAGATAGCGACTCTTCCTCTCTCCTGCTAGTAAATAAACTATGGAAATGCACCGGCATGTTTTTTCCCTATCTTAAATTGTTGTCACCCCCTACTAATCTGTAGGATAGTAATCTGTAGGATTGTACACGACAACCTTACCCTCATAGTCCAGAGCAACCATCCTATTGCGACAATAGAGAGGCTCTAGCCCTGGTTCTGTATACTCGATTGAACAAGACAGCCCGAGATCTTGTATCATATCAAATACTTGATATTCATCGATTCTTAGATCATCAATACATGCTATAAA